TGTTTTTGAGACAGTGTCTCACTACGTAGTTGAGGCTGACCTGGAACTCACTATGTAGTCCAGGCTGGTCTCGAACTCATAGCGATCCTCCTGCCTCAGCCTCCCAAGTGCTGGGATTACAGGTGTGCGCCACCACGCTCGGCTGAAAACATTGTAGTTTTGTCACCTCTTTCTGAGCAATTGCTAGATCTTATATTGGTATGAGTTTCTTTCTATATATGTTTATAGATTCCATCTTAAATGGAACTTTACCTATTCTCATTTCTCTTCCATCTCTATTGTACCTCTTTCCCAGGCACCAAAGATTAATCCAGATTAATATAAGGAAATGTTCAGGTCCCACGAACAGGTTTATAGGACTCTACTTTCTGCTATCAAAATAAAACAGAAAGGTCTTTGGATGACACTTTCTCACTTCTATGTATAATGTTCTTTGAAAGTACCATCAGAGCTAGAAGGAACTAGCTGAATCATACAGTTAAAATGGTTTGGGGGAAATCTATAAATATGATTAGTATTTTCCTCTCCCTCTCTTCCCCTCTCTCCTTTTCTCTCAGTCTCCCCTTCTCCATTTAATTCCATGTAATTTAATATCAACCACAGTAGTTTTGTCCGAAAATTTACCAGCCCTTGCCTGCTCAGTGATTAGCAACATAGAAGATATTTTTAAACCATGATACTTAAGGTTAAATGGCATTAATCAAGAGTAACTTCCATTATTATTACTTATGTTTGTTGTCAAAAATCACGATGTAATTCCTGCTTTTCTTTGTTGTTTGTTTTATTCAGAGACACTTTTTCAGAAATCTTGGATCTATTCTGGCCTATGCCTTCCTGGGGACTGCTGTTTCTTGCTTCATTATTGGGTAAGGGAATCTTTGTCATATAACCAAATTAGCACATTTCCTAAAGGGTTGAGCTCTGTATGGGTGCACAGAGTCCAGTATTTTTGTTTGAGATGATGGCAGTTAGGATAGAGAGCTTTGCTGTCCTGTATGGTAGTTGTTAGCTACATGTGGCTATTTAAATTAAGATTAAAATTATATTGAATTCTGAAATGAATCAGACACATAAACACAAATATTGCAGGGTTTCTCTTATGTGAGAAACCCAAAGTACAAATAATTTAAAGAGCAAAATAAAAGATACATAATACAAAATAGGGAGATAGATCCTCTGTGAATGGGAAGAAGACCTAGAGGTAGAGGAGGGGAAGGGATGTGAGGGCAAGGGGAAATAGAAAGGAAAATAAAATGTGTTATGTACATGTACCAACTCCCCATGATGAATATAATCATTATGTACTGCAAACATGTAGTAATAAGCATACGTTTTTGAAAAAATAAAAGATTAATATGAAATGTAGTTATTCCCAGTTTCTAGATCTTGGCTTCTATCATGATTCCCCAATGAAAAGAACCAGAGCCCCTTGCAAAAATGGCTTATTCTAGGGCTAGGAAAGGAAACAGACATGAAAATACTTCTTGTAATGCCACAAAGTAAGTGCTCAAAAGACATACAAACACAAGGATGAGGGGCATGTCAAAGGGACACGAGAGCCAACCTGAAAGTTCCTGTAATGGCCACAGTGGCTAAAGAACAACAAAGTGACTAACTTTGTATTTGTATTAGATTATTATCCAAACAATAAAAAAAATGATTGGATGAATAAATGAATGGGAGAGAAGAGAAAAATCTCCTGTGCCGAATTCCAAATAATTTTTGTAGATACATCCCTTCAAGGAAGTATAACTTAGTCTCCCCCATTCCAATACCTCACCCCAACTTTGCTTTGAGTGTGGGCTGTGCATAATAATTTTTTCTTAAGAGTATGGTACAGAAAAGGGGGGAAAATAACGTTTAAATGGAGAAGCCTGGAAGATACCACTTGAGTGTGGTGATCAACGTCAGAGTCAGTAGTGATAAGTCATATTGATAGTATGTGCCATTGATAACTGTGATGAGAACGGTGCTTCATCTCCCTGGTCTTTCACCCCAAAACATATCACTTCAGTCTAACTATGAGAAAAAAATTAGACAAATTCCACATGAAGGACAAAATACCTGCCCGGTATTCCTCAGAACTGCCAAGGTCATCAGCAATAATCAATGTCTAAGAAACTGTCACAAGCAAGAGGAGACTAGAAAGATATGATGACTAAATGTCATGTCGTACCTGGATAGGATCTTGGAACAGAAAAGACTACACTAAGAATGTTAGTTAATTTTTTAAGAAAGCTGGAAACCTGTAGATAAAGGCAGCAGCCTTTTATTTTGTCAAGAAAGGAGGGGCTTAGTGTTTATCCTTTAAGGAATAACAAATCATTGACATAACTGGCATTAGAAGGCAAGAAAAAAAAAGTCTGTCAGAGAACTCAGCTTATCAGGTCTAAGATTGTAGTAGAGGGAAGTGGAGAGGAGGATCTAGCTTCAGGAAATGTTTAAAAGGTGTATGAAAGAAGCCTTTATTGAGCAAGAAAGAGCAAGTTCTGTGCCATAGAATGGATGTGAACTGAAACTTAAATAGGTAAGTATTTGAACAGTACCTGGCACATAGTAGACAAGCACTAAGTTGTGACTATTTCTTCTCATGAAGATTCCATTTTGTAAATACTAATTCTTTTCGTTTCTAGCTTGGCCAATCCACTGTTCTAAGAATCCGTCACATGGGCCAGAATTTAGCTCAGTAGCACTGCACCTGCCTTGTAAGCACAAGGTCCTGAGTTCAATACCTGGTACCAAAAAAAAAAGTCCATCACAAATCTCATTATTATAGGATTGGCTGTAGAATACAATGAGTTAATTTGTGGTTATTTTTACTTCCTTAAGCCCTGCAGCTGCTGTATCACTACACACACACACACACACACACACACACACACCCTTGTAACACATACCAGACCCTGTCACATACTAGTCCTTTTAAAAATACTCCTCAGTGTTCCCCATTTGTAAGCTGTCATGTGAGAAATGTACTTCAGCTGAGCTGAAAAATTGAACTTTGCGGGCCTGGTTGGACAATGTCGTGTTCTGCACAACACAAGGAGATTTGCTGCTGGCCTGCCTAACCTATGCACAAAAAGAGGCTAGCTATGTCAGTGGGGACACTGATGTGTTAATAGGACATTTAAAGAGTTTTGTTTCTTTTCCCTTCCTTGCAGTAATTCTTGGCAGAGAAGGCAGTAACAGGTCAATCATTTGGATCTTTGTGACCAACTCATTTTTCCCCTCCAGCTTCATCCAGCCCATTCATTTATATGACTATAAATGTACTATATTAGAATATGAGTTTTGTAGCAATTTATTACATATTATGTCAGTTCTATCTTCTTCCTTCTCCTTTATTACCCAGTTGCTTAAGATGCCTTAATTTTGTTGTTAACTGAAGACCATTCTTAGTAGCTGTTATAGTTGCTAGCACAACTTTTAAAAAATGAAATATTCAGATGTTTCATCAAGATGACATTAACTACGCACCAGTACAGGTGCCAAGTTTCTATTTGCCTATGTTCCTGGTAAGGGTCCAGCCATAGCAGCTGCCTGTTGCTTTCATAAATCTCCTTTAAAAGCACGCAGCCCCTCTGCTTGCGTTTTTGCAGGGTTTTTTTCCTGGCATAATTTACTTTCCCTTTTTACAGAAATCTCATGTATGGTGTGGTGAAGCTCATGAAGATTGTGGGGCAGCTCTCTGATAAATTTTACTACACAGATTGTCTCTTTTTTGGAGCAATCATCTCTGCTACGGACCCAGGTATTTGTATCTTTGCCTTTATCATTTTGATATTGCATTATTTAAATCAAAAATTTCAGAGCAGTCACCAATTTTTCCCTCTTTCTATGAAATTTATTTTAAAAACATTTTACTGTGAAATGAAACACATTTGGAGGGGTACGTGGAAGAAAAATGTATAGTTTAATATCAGTGAATAACCATGGTTTTACCAGGAAGGGTGAAAGAACAACTTCCAGCTATTTCTCACTTATACCTTCCTACCTCCTCAAGAAAGGCTACTTCACCCTGGACTTTTGTATTAGTCATTTCTTTACTTTTGTTTACATTTCTTCCTCTTGCAGTCTTTTTATTTGATTTATAAAATATCATTTATTGAGTATAACTGACAATCATACATTTAACATATACAACCTGATGTTCTGAGATCTATTTAAATTGTGAAATGATTACTATTAATCAAGCTAATTAACATATCCATTGTCTTACACTTAGAGCAGTTCTTAATTTCCTCCAGTTAGAAACATTTTATAATATCGCAAGTCAAAAAATACTCTAATATAAAAGGAACGATGTGCTCAGCATCTCACTCTGAGAGACAGATTAAAACATTTAAGTGAATACCATTCTAGATGATTTCTCTATACATTATTACATTTTAAAAATAAAAAATTGACAGTGCCACATTGGTTTGTAACCACTGTTTCACTTAATGGAATATAATAAATTTACCTCAGTAAATTTATGTCAACATCGTGATCTCTTAATGATGTTATTAATAGCTTTTTTCTGTCTCCCCTCTACCTTCCCTTACGCCTCCCTTCCTTTATTCCCTTCCTCTTATCTAATAATAATCTCCTTTCTACTTTCTAAGTTATCTTTTTTAGGTTCCACATGTTAGGGAAGACACGTAATATTTGTCTTTCTAAGTGCATGGATCGGTAACTTGATTAGATACTATTTTTACTATTATAGTATTTTAGGCAAACCATGTTTAAGTCAGAGGACTTTTGGAAAAGATGTAGTAGCCCAATCTTTCACTTTACCACCTTTGGATTTTGTTATGTGCTGCGTTCTAGCCAGTTGGTGCTCTGTTGGATGGCTTTTGTTTGTTCCTCCAGATTTATTCATTACACTTCACCTCCTCTTGGCCTCAGAAGGCTGACTTGCATGGAATAAGCCAAAGATTCTTTTGCCTTGTGATTTCCCACTGGAGGTATCCATGGCAGAGTAGCACTGAGAGGAGGACAGAGATGCAGGAGCCATGCAGGCCAGCCAGTTCTCTTGTCAGAAGTCACAGCTCCTGTGAAGTGACCCTCTCCCTACAAGTGCGGATTCATGTAACCACTTCTTCCCCTGGAGCCCTCAGGCCTAGGGATGATACAAAAGCTCCCTGTCTCTATCTTCAAGTACTGTCTTCTCCCTTGGCATTTCCCTGTACCCTGCCCTCATTTATATAAATAACTTCTTTATAAAACTCTCCTCAAATTTCTGTGTTTGAGGTGCCATTGCTTCCTGCCAGGACCTACCCTCACTGGTAGAGATCTAGCATCCTGGAGTCCTAGGATCATCATGTCTTACAGCTAGGCAAGCTGAGCTGTGTTCATCAATCACACATTTCTTGTATTCAGCCACTGAGATTTCAGGTATTTCAATATTGTAGCATAGAGCAGCCTGTTTTCTCATTCCTAAATTAGGGGAAATGATAGAAGTACACTCCTGACAGAATTCTGTGATGGCTAAATGACACTGTAAAATTTTGTCATAGTGCCTGCTTCATGGTAAATCCTCAGTCGTTGTTATTATCATTAGTTTTTCTTCAGCAATTCGGAAAATTCTGCTGGACTGGCTGGGGGGCGGGCATGCCTGAAATTGCAGCTACTCAGGAGGCTGAAGTAGGAGGGTTGCAAATTTGAGGTCAGCCTGGATAACTTAGTGAGATCCTGTCTTTTTTTTTTTTTTTTTTTTTTTTAC